TGAATGACTTGCCTAGGATCATGCCAATCTGCTATAGTTTTTCTTTAAAACTTTCTGTGTCTCTCTCTGTCTTTGTCTTTCTCTTTCTCTCCATTTCTTACTAAAAGAATGTTGAAACTTTCTTTTTATGTTGCTTGTGGGGTTGGAAATGAATAAAACTGCACAATTCTGTGTTACTAGAGTTTCTATAACGATTCCAGGAAGTTTCGCAACAATAGCAGTTACAAAACTGGTCAAGTTAATTGAACTAATGTTTCACTTGATAACTTCATTCACTGAAATAACCAACTACTTTACTGAATTATTTCAAATGACAGTAGATAGTCATATCTGTCAAAAAATCTCAAAAGCTGGCAATAATATGGAGTAGCATATAAAATTCTTATTTGTAGTTATCACATAAAAGAGATGGGGTAGTAGACAGAGAGCCAAATTTGGAGTCAGGAAGGGTTTTAGGCCCCACCTTTGACGTGTACTGGGTACAACCCTGGGCAAATCACTTAACCTCTCACTGCCCCTGGAAAATGTTCAAGGCTATAAGTTGCATAATAGTTGCTGCTCTGCATTGATAGAGGGAATTTTCTTACCAAGTAGATCCCCATGTCAATGAAGTCACAGGTCCAGGCCAAAAAATATAAATATAAATGTGTGTATGTGTATGTGTGTGTATGTGTGTGTGTGTGTGTGTGTGCACATATAAGCAGCTAGGTGGCTCAGTGGATAGAGTGCTGGACCAGGAGTCAAGAAGACCTGAGTTCAAATCCGGCCTAGACACTTACTAACTGTGTGACCCTGGGCAAGTCACTTAACTTCCATTTGCCTTAATTCATTGGAGAAGGAAGTGGCAAACCACCCCAATATCTTTGCCAAGAAAATCCCATGGTTTGGGCCACAATGAAACAACAACAACGTGTATATATAAGTACATGCATACAAGTATATGCACACAAAGACACATATACATGTGTATACATGTATGTATATATGGATGCATATATGTGCCATATAGAAAGGTAGACACTTCACATATAAAATATATCCATCCTGCATTTGCATGAATATATATAAATTATAAACACATACATATATAAATTATAAATATAACAATATAATACATATACAGTATACATATATATATAAATATATATATATTACCCACCTATCTCAGTGACAATATTGTTATGTTAAAATAGGTTTCTGACCAGGTAGCACAGGTTAAAAAAGACTGACAAAAGAAATCTCTTTCCAATTATAAAAATCTAAATCATCAAATATTTAAATAAATGAATAAACCACATCCAAGTAATCTAAGAAAATAAATGAATAATAAATCAATATTTTATGTGTTAAATTATATTTACATCTCGACTGGCAACATCATAACATAGTAATATAGCTAATAGAATTGACTATTGAGCAAACATATTCACATCTCTTTACCTGACTTAAAAGATTTATGACCCTAGAGACAAAAATGAGAAATTCCATCCCTGGCAATGAAACTCTCACGAACAGACTTTGCTTATTTCTCACCTGATCTTTCAATTTAATTTAATCTACACCAGATTCTGCCACTGATTTTCTGAATAATGTATTAGAAATACACTTGTGCCATTAATATGTGCTAAGATGAAGTATCATTAGATAGGAGGGAGAATAATGATCTATTACACAAAACAGCATTTCATATATGAATGATTCAGCACACAAGTTAGTCTGATTAAAGAATAACAGAATCAAATACTTCAGAATAAGAGAATGTATTTACAGTAATGATGTTTGTGCAAGTTGTCTGTCTGTAAATCATGATTATCAAGCGTAAATACATTTCCTGAGTAAAGGAGATGGTATAGATCATTCCAAAGAAAATACTTTTTTCAACATGTTATTATAATAATCATAAAATCCAATTTTTCTTCTTCTAACACACTAGTAAAAATGAAATACAGGAAAATGCTGAACTACAAAGGACATGTAATCTAGTATGTAAATCAGGTGTTCATTTAACATTCAAGAATTATAAATTATAAAATGGGACCAGAATCAAACATATGTCTAATATTAAGCTGCACAATAAACAGAATAAAAGGAAACCAAGAAATTAATTTTGAAATGCAGTGTCATAAACTGTTTTTTGTTAGACTTTATTATTATGTATTATTTTATTAAGTTTTATATCCTTACTGATAAATTTTTGTTTCCTCATTTATCTGGCATCATTGGAGAACGATGTATTTGACATATGGGGATCGTTCAGATACTTGAAACTTACCCTTTCAAGTACTAATGCTTTCTTTAATTTGGCCATTTTAATTGGAATCTTTGTAAAAATGCAAGCCTGAGAGGCTGGGAGGATAGTATTGCCCTCCACAGTAATAGGGAAGGTAGGAGGTAGGGAAGATTTAGGGGGAGAGATAATGATTTCTGTCTTGAATATGTTTAGTTTAAGATATTGATTATATATCAAATTTGAACTATCTGAAAAGCAATTGGAGATGTGAGATTGTAGGTCTGCAGAGAATTTGAGGAAGGTTAGGTAGATTTGAGAGTCATTAGCATAGAGATGACAATTAAATCCATTTGAGCTGATCACTAAGGCAAGTAGTATAGATAAAGAAGAGAAGAGGGCTCAAGACAGAACCCTGAGGGACACTTATGGTTAGATTATGGCAGGAGGCAATGATGACTAAGAAGGAATAAACATGGAAACCGCTACAGGGGACTCATGAACATGAGGAGAGAGAGACAAACAAAACAGCACATGGAGATACCTGGTTCCAAGTAGCTGTGGAAACTGAGGAAGACAAGAACCAAGTAGAGATATAGATTCAAAGAGCAATCAATAGATAAAGGCAGGAGCAGGTTTTGAGCAATGAGATCAAAGGTCCAACCTTACCCCGGGATGCCAAAGCTGTGAGACTTGAAGAACTTATTAACCTCACTACTCTGGGGACACGAGGGAATGGGACTGTATTTGCTTAGGAATATGTATGACTGCTTACTTTGCACTTTATTTAGGTTCTAGTTGAGTGTTCTATTGGTTCATTATTGTTTTTTCCCTGGGTTTTTATTAGTATGGTGGGCACCTGAGGGACTTTAGAAGTTCTCAGTTTACAGCTGATGAGATAATTGAGGTGTTACCAACTAAAATAAATACTCCCACAATCTGAACCTTAATTGGTAATTAATCTACAAGTGAGTAGATCATGAGAGACATACCACAAGATGGAAAAAGACATAGAAGACAGTTTATGAAATTTGTGGAAAGTTTGGAAGGTAATAGACTATATGATATAATAAGGACTTAAAATTATCTCAACAGGCTGGAACAATGCGAAAACTACAATAAGATGAAATTAAATAGGTAAAAATGTAAGGTTCCACACTTTGGTTAAAAAAAAATTCAAAAGTAAGGTTGTAGGAAATCTGGTTTAACAAAAGTTAATGTCGAAAAGACCTAAAGGATTATTTGTTGACCACTAACATAATATGAATCAATCAATAATTAATGAGCCTTTTGAAGTACCTGCTAACTGGTAGGTACTGTACAAGGTGTTGGGGATACAAAGTAAAACAGCATCTACCCTCAAGGGGCTTACATTCTGTCAAGAGAGACAAACATATACAGATGTTGGTATAGACAAGATACCAAATAAATACAAAGCAATTTTTTTGAGGAAGGTACTTAACATCTGTGGAGGATCAGGAAAGACCTTGTGAAGAAGGTGGCACTTGAGTTGAGTCTAGAAGTATTTTACTAGGGATTCTAAAAGGTGGCTATGAGAAGATTGTCAGTCAACAAGCATTTATTAAGCACCTACTATGTGTTGGTCAATGTGCTAAGCACTGGGGATACAAAAAAAAGTTTTAAAAAATCCCAGCTCTCCTTGGTCTTAAGGAGCTGACAGTCTACTCATTGCATACACGGAGCACACTCAATGCAAAGGCAAAGTACATAAAATCAATATTGTTACATGGCTGTCAAAAGGCATAGGCAATATAAGGCTGCATTAATAGAATATAAAATCTAGATTCATAGAAGTAATAGACTTACTGTTTTCTGTACTGTTGAGGGAATTGAGGGAATTAGGACAGGAAGCAGTTAATTGTGGGAATTGAGTGAAACACGCTGACTCCATCTTGTGACTCAATTCTGGATCTAGCTCAGTTCTCTTTCTATTAAATTATGGGTCTAGTCCAATTTCTGTCTTGTGAGAAAATATTCAATTGTGGAAACTGGGAGAAAACCTTATTACATTGTTTGAACCTAGCCCTGTGTGGGTGGGAAGCTGGACCAGGTACCTGTACCTGCTGCTTAGAGACTCTTAACTAAAGACCTAGGTTATGCTGACCAGAAATCCCCGTCAGATCCAAAAATTGATGCAAGGAGTTTTTTCACAATTGAGCATCTCAAGTAACCCATATGTCTTATCTGAAAACTAGCCCTATGCTGATCAATCCGTTATTATTTCCATGTTCCTTTGATTGTTTACAAATACTTGGAGGGGGGTAGAGGACTTTACATTTTCTGATTTCAGGAAATTGTGCCTGTTTGCTCTCACCCTCCCAACTTGGAAAGTCCCTAATCTTTCTTGTAATTGGAAATCAGATTACCTAATTTTGTATCCTAGTTAATTATTTTCTTCTAATTGCTCTTATTTGATTAATTGTTTTTAATCTATAAAAGTCTGTCTCCCTTTGTTTTCAGGGTCCAGCCCTAAGCTGAGAAAGCAGCCTGGTCCTGCATGTATTGCTTAATAAATTGATCTGTTTGCAACTCTAACTTTTGTTTCCTCAGTCATTTCAATTTTCACCTGCCGCACTGGTTAGGATACATCTACAATATTATCATACTTTAAGAGATTAACAAATAAGACTGTATCCAGAATAGGATGGCCATCTCACACAAGATAGAATTGAAGAAACTTGTGATATTTTAGATTGGGAAACAGAAGATTTAGGAGTAGAAGTAGGTGAGAGCAGAGGGACCAGAGTGATACCTTCCCAAGGAGAGCAGCCTGTCAAGGAGACCAGGTATTTGGAAATCAGCTCATTTCTTCCAATGCCCAGGTGACAAGCAGCCATCTTTCTCAACCCTGCTGCTTGTAAAGACAAAGCCAAAAATCTTTTTGAAAAGGGTTCTACCCCAATTTTACACTTATCTGATGGGAAAGTGATTGTAGTTAAGATAGAATATGAAGGAAAAGGCAAGAAGCTGCTAGAATTGTGACCGTTCACAGCTGGGAAGGGAATGTGATAACACTACCGATGAGTTATTATTTACAAGAGTGCTAGACTTGGAGTCAGGAAGACCTGAGTGTGAACCTTGCCCTGGACACAAACTAGCTCTTTTACCCTAGGCAAATCACTTAACCTCTCTGTGCTTCCATCCCATCAAACGGGGACAATAATAGTACCTACCTCACAGGGTTGTTGGGAGGATCAAAAGATAAGCAAACCCTTGCAAATTAGCTCTCATTATAGAGAACCAGCCTCAGAGTCAGAAGACGTGAGTTCAAGTCTGGTCTCTGAAACAAACTGGCTGTGAGACCCCTGGGAGCTGTCACTTAACTTCTTAGTTTTCTGAGCAAGGTCTGACCCATATAAATTATAGAAAAGATGCCAGTCTGCATTAGAGAAGAGGTCTCCACACACAAGTTCCCTATTCTTATAAAAACATAAGTCCAGTTTCCCACCTTATCTCTCTCTCTCTCAACAAATGTGTGTGTGTGTGAGTGTGTGTGTGTGTGTGTGTGTGCGTGTGTGTGTGTGTACACATGGGGGGGGAGACACACACACACACACACACACAGAAGGTAGCTTTAAAGATCTATTCTCAGAGGGGAGGGCCCATGTAGGACAAAAGATTAGGGAAGACACCCAAATCAGTCCAGGTGTGCGTCTGTCAGTTTGACTCAGCCAATAGTGGGAAGATGGGGTGCAGATCTGTCTAGGAGAGCTCAAGTTAGTCTAGAGAGAGCAGCCCTTGAAGTCGTAGATTCTTGGCTCAGGGCTAGATATGGGCATTGCCAGGACATCACCTGGCTGATTTATAGCTTCTCTTGTGTAGGTGCAGGAGGCAACTGAACGGGATTAAAGAAGTGGTTTGTAAAATCTCCTTTAGGGGGATGAGGCAACAGAGAGATGGTAAAACAAGAAGGCCAGAAACATGGAAACTTCCCAAGTTTCTGTCAACAAGCCCAGAGCAGAAAGATCCCCCGAGGGAATGTGGAGATAAATCGAAGCCCGAAGCCCCTGGGGCAGTAGGGAAGAGTAGTTAATTTCTTATGGACAGTTTGTAGGAATAGGATTAAATTTCCTATTGTTTGAAGGCAGGAGGGAATATATGTTTAATGGGGGCACCTTTGGAGTCAAGGAGACCTGAGTTCACGTCCTGCCTCTGACTGACATATTCGATGTGTGACCTTGGGGCAAATCACTTTATCCTCTCAGTGTTTCAGTACCTGCCTTGGTAGAAGCTCCCTTCATGAATGGCAGTCACCTATACTAGGTGCTGGGGATAGAAATTCAAAAAGCACACAATACCTCTTCTTAAGGAGCTTATATTCTCCTTGTGAGAGCAGGGGAATTGAAAAGGAGCAGCATTAACATCTGGGGAGACCAAGAAAAGCCTTGGGTAGGCCCTGGCACTTGAGCTGTGTTCTGAAGGAAGTTCAGATTTCTATGAGGCAGCAGGGAAGGAAAAGGGCTTTCAATACTTGGGGGAACATTGGTGCAAGTGGGAGCCTGCACCCACTTCTGTGATAAATGTGAGACCTAGCTGTCCCTACCTTCCAAGGCTTTACCCAGACCACTGACACAGACATAACCACACTAATCAACTGGCCCTTCATTGAAAAGTTTAGGAATCATTTCCAAAATTTGTGCCAATTCTGTCATTGAAGCATTTTTTTTTTGCTTATATGTGAAGGATGTAGTTTTATTTCAAAACTATTTTATCTCATGGAAGTAATTTATTTTAATATTTCAAGGATTTATTGGTTATTCCATTGTGATGGATGCTTCCTTTACTGTTTCAAATCAAACCCTCCTTCCTCTTCTTATAGTAGCCGGACTTCAAGGGTTGTGACACAAAATTCCTCATCCTGATGCCAAACTGGTGATGAACTTTTTGAACTTAGCAAGGCTGATCCTTGAATGGCAGACATAGCCTATCATATTGAGCCTGTGCCCAAAACCTTTTCGGCTGTCAGAGTTTGTATTCAGTGGTCATAGCTTTCAAGAAATACACAGGATGATTGGAATCAGGGGAAACCTCAGAATCTAGTTCATACCATTCACACTAGAACTATTATTTCTTGAGCATAGAGAACTCCTAGTCAATTCAAATCAGTAAGCATTTGTTAAGTGCATACTATGGGTCTTGTACTGTGTAAGCTCCGGGAAATTCAATGGAAGGCAAAAACAGTCCCTCTCCATAAGGAGCTCACAGTCTAGTGGGCAAGACAACATGCAAACAAGTATGTACAAATGCTCTGTACAGTATAACTTGGAGGGAATAAGAGGGGCAAGGCACTAGAGTTATGGGGGACTGAATTGCCTAGAGCTCTGAGAGGTTAATGGTCTGCCCAGAGTCACACAGCCAGTATGTGTCAGAGGTAATATTAGAACCCAGGTCTTTCTGGCTTCAAGATTGGCTCTCTATCCAGTATACCCTGCTGCCACTATCAACACTGTACTGGAACAACTTGTTGTTGTTCAATTGTTCTAGTTGTATCTGGCTCTTCATGACTCCATTTGGGATATTCTTAGCAGAGATACTAGGGTAGTTTGTCATCTTTTTCTCCAGCTTATTTTACAGATGAGGAGACTGAGGACAATAGGATTAAGTGAATTTTGCAGGGTCATACAGTTAGTAAGTGTCTATGGCTGGATTTGAACTCAGGTCTTTCTGACCCCAGGCCTGGCACTCTATCCACTGTGCCACCTAGCTGCCTGCTGGAACAAGAATCCTTTCTAAAACAAACTAGAAAAAATGGTTGATCCAGACTTTGCTTGAAGACTTCTAGTGATGGGAAAGCTACTACCTTCCAAAATCCCTCCTTCAGCTTTTGAATAGTAATAGTCAAGAAGTTACTCCTAACATCAAGCCTATATCTGCTTCCATGCCACTTATATTCATTGTTCCTAGTTTTACTCTCTAGGGTCAAGCAGAAAAAGTTTAATCTATCTTTCACACAATAGACTTGAAATATTTGAAGACAGCAGTCATGAACCCATTACCAGGGATAGGGAACCGGTGGCCCTCTAGATCCTTAAGTGCAGTCTTTTGAGTGAGTCCAAGTTTTACAGAACAAATCCTTTTGTTAAGGGGATTTGTTCTGTGAAGGTTGAATTCAGTCAAAGGGCCGCACTTGGGGACCTAGAGGGCCATGTGTGGCTTTGAGGCCCAAGGATCCCCACCCCTGCTAGGTCTTCTCTTCTTCAGGCTAAACTTCTATTGATCCTTATCTAGATCCTTATCTAGAATAATCTCAAGTCCTTTAACCATTTAACCACTATTGCTTTCTTTGGGACCGTCTAGCTTAACACTGTCCTTCTTAAATAAACAAGGCATCCAGAGCTGAACACAAGATTCCAGATAGGATCCAATAAACACAGAGTACAGTAGAATTATTATCTCACTAGTCCTAGGCACTTTTCTCTTAATTCACCACAAGATCATGCTTTTTGGGTTGCCATATCATACAAAATCACAGAATTTAAAAGTTGAAAAGGACCTCAATGTCATTTTAGTGTAATTCACACCTGAGAAAGAATTCCCTTGTACAATGTACTGGACAAATGGTCATACAGCCTTTGCTTGAAGATCTCCAATGAGGGGAAACCCAGTTTCCTGAGACAGCACATTTCACTTCCAATAGATCATCTTTGCTACATGCCTGTATTATTCCTGGATATACCTTCTGAGGCCAAGCAGAATAAGGATAATCACTCTTCCCTGTGATGACTCTTCAAATAGTTGAAGAAAGCCCCAAAGTCTTCTCTCTAGGTTAGATATTTCCATTTTCTCAGACCAATCCCCATATGTCATGAAATTGAGGCACTTTACTTTGCTGGTTGCCTTCCTCTGGCTTATAGCCAGCTCAACAATGTCTTCCCTACAATGGGGTGCCTAGAAATGAGATTGACATTCCAGGTGTGATCTGACCAAAAAGTAGAGATTGCCTTTCCTATTCCTCAAAGCTCCTTTTTCTTAATATATCCTAAAATCACATTAACTTCCTTGGCTGCCATGTAACTATGGAAACCTCATCATCCTGCAAGATCTCATCATCCTTGGCATTGTGTCACATCACCACCTTTTGTCCCCATGATATAGCTTCTTGGAGCCACAGGTGAGAGTTGAGTGAAGGTGGACACCAAAGGTGGATGAGCTGCTCTGAAAAAGGGCTTGGTAAGCCCTCACACACAGGCAAGTCCTCCCTGAATGCCCATATACTCCTCAAAGCCTCAAACCTGTTGGTGAATTAGGGGATATCTACCCCAAGCATATGAAGACTTTCCCTGTTGGAATGGACAGATGAGAACAATTTCTTCCAATAGCCATGAAGTTGGCTGAAACAGGTGCTGTAGAGAGCTTAAAGCTTGGTTAGGCATCGAAGATGCCAAAGTCATCTACTGCATCCTGGGCCATTGCCAGTCATCTTGTCTTTTGTCTTGTCCACTAAACTTTGATCCCTCAGGAAGAGAGAATGAGGTTGATGACTTTGTGCAACTTTGCCTTACTTAAATCTAATTCCTGAGCAGCTCCCCAAACCTTGGTGTCCCCATGGAGTTAAAACACCATTTTTCTTGTTCTTTTTGGGATTGTGCAAGTGAATCTCTTCATGGGCAACACTGAGGTCCCCACAAAGCACAAGTGACTTTTTTTTTTTGGCACTTAACCCCTTCTAAAACTTGTGAAATGCTTCATTTCATCATCGTGGGTATTCCATTTGAACCAGCTCCCACCCTGCATTGGTCACATATGCTGTAAACAGCACAAATGCTTGGAACTCGGCCACTATCACCCAGCCCTTCTGATCATGCTCCTTTTTACCAATGCTGAGTGGACACTGGTG